TAGAGTTCTGTAGAAGTCCATACTGCCTGCATCTCTGGATATGCTTTACTCCGGGAAGGATCTCTTTCCTATCCTATTGCCACCAACTCCAGAACTGATACCAGCTTTGCCAGACAGCATGTCCACATGAGAAGTGTGGTCACCAAAGTTACAAAAGTTCGACAACTGTGTATTGCACTCCCTGAGAGCAGCTTATATTCTTTTACAAGAAGGCCTATATACATATATTTACTATTTACCATAAATATGGTCTCTATTTTCCAAAATTATTCAGAAGATTGGTATCCAGTCTGAAGTCTTGAGCTAGGTTCTCCTGACAATGGCAAGAATTTGCTTGCCAGACCTCCCCTTACCATGGGGCCTCATCTATACACCCACTTGGGTTGGGAACAACCATGCTCCACCAGCAGCCTGGGTTTATGTGACAAATAAACTCAGACAAATGAATCCACACTCTGTGCTACACTGGCAATTTTTTAACCTTGACATGGAAAACTAAGGGTTGTGATGGTGCCCTCTCTTCCCTGCTGCTTTAATAGCACAACTCCACTGCAGTGGAAAACAAACCGTTTTCACTTGGATGTGGTGTCACCTTGTGAATGTTTCAGAAAGCAGGCTCCAAGGATAGCACTTCACAGTGAGCAGAGCTCCCACCTGGGACCACTTACGCAGTTCCCTTGTCCTTGTAATTGTGCAAGCCCAACACCTGCAATATGAAAACCATTGAGATTTTCAGTGTGCTCTGTGTCATATCAATTAGCTGTCCTCCCACCAGTAAGCCATGAAGAAATTGGTGACTATAGCTCTGGGGCTACTGATTTCTCATTTTCATTTATTGTTCAATCCTAATTGCAAGAAAAAAGTCAATGACAGGGAACCTACACAGTTTGGAAAGGAGAATGAAACTGGCATTTGACACCAGGGGTATTCCTCCCCGTTGCAAACTCTGCATTGCTAAGCCAGCGCTTACAATCAGAAAAAGTCATTTTATTCCATGAAACTTTGGACTTGCAGATTGCAAAATCCAGGTTCAGACACCAATTGCTTGAACCTACTCTTCTCCTTTCCCCTGTGTGCTGGTGAGATCTCCAGCGTGCATTCCCTCTTCTCCAAGGCAGCTGGGCTCCATCCCACCTGTGCAACGCACCGGCAGATGGTAGTGACTGCTTGGCTCCAATCTGGTACTGTAACGAAGTGGGCAGACGTTTTAAAGCACTTAGCATCTCTTGTGAAAGTGTGGAAGCGACTTCACACTTCAAAACACACTCCACTTCAAAATTTGAACCATGTGCAAGAGGATAAAGTCTATGGCAGAGACAACTTCTTTGTACCAGCTTACCTGGTGACAAGTAATACACAGGTGTAGGCACCTTCTTCACCTTTCTAGTTTTTTAAATACAAGATGAAACTCAGCAAACCTTTTTTCTGCCAGCTGAGGTCCTGGCCTCTTACACACCTCTTCTGGGGCTTGGCATGGCCCCCGCTATTTGTTTCATTTCCTGGCTGCTTGCCATGAGACCTGTTTGCAGGACTTCCAGCTCCGCAGAGGCTCTATTGCCCTGCCTCTGCCATCCAGCAACAACCCAGCTCACGAGACACGTCTCAGGAGCGCTGCGTTGTGGAAAGCAAGGGAGACATGAGGTGAATTACTTTTTTGAGTTATTTTTGCAGCTATGAAAGCAATCAATTGATAAAACACACCTTAAATGCATTTTATGTGGCGATAATGACTAGACAAACAGAGGTGTGTGGTTTCCTAGATAGGTACTTCCTGTTGGTTTCGATCATTTAAGTACAGATTTTATACAAGACTTTTAAAAATATTTTGGTTTTCTTATCTTTACCTGCTTAAGGTATGTAATGGAGGGACCGTTCAGGACCCTAGCATAAATCTGGTTTGGCCAGTTGTCTGGTGTATTGGGTAAGACCCAAACCACCATAAGCAGCCTGGAAGCTGCAACATGTTTACTCCAAGGAATGTTAATGCAAAGCCTTGTTTGATTTATTCTGTTAGATCACATAAATATATTTTTCCAATTAATGGGTATATGGTGCACAATCAGATTTCTTTTATCAGGAGAAATGGTTCCCTCTGGATCTACTGAAGCCATGTAATATATCATGCCTGCAGTTACAGTGTGGATCTATTCAATCTGCCCTGCCTTAACAGAAATGAAAGCAGTAGCTTTCAGGAGAGTTGGGTCTCTACAAAGTGTCACTTCATTCTCTGGAGCCACCCCCCAACCTCTGGTAAAGCTGTCCATGCTGGCTTTTATTTCTCTTGTAATCAGAAAAGCTTGTCATTCAGAGCACGGCAGCATACTTGCGTTTTTATTAGCCTAGTTTTGCAAATAAGCAGAGCTTTTGAATTTTAGTGAAGTGACTATCCATCTTCCTTTGCACAACTCTAACCTCTCCATGCAATTTATATCCATATTTCATGCAGTACCATTCTGGTTCAAGATATGACCCTCCACACCTGGGACCTGGTTCACTGGCTCAATGAAAAGGTAAAGGAGGTGAGAACAGAGGGCAAGTCAAAGTAAGGAAGGGGTCTCTCCTCTCCCATGAGCTGTGCCGGCTCCAACCCCTCCTTTTGCACTGAGGACTCCAAAGATGAAGATGCCGCCCTTCTGTGAGCGCAGCTATTGCCAGCCCCAAGGTCTAGCTGGGAAACAGCCCAGGGCTGTTGTTCTGTGTCGTTTAGGCAACAGAAGCAAGCACTAAAGTTGAAAGTCCAAGTCCTGCTGGACCTTAGATACAGACAAATGCTTTTTCTGCAGAAAGTGCTGAGGAAAGGCATTCACCCAAAACAGCATCAGAACAAACATTCCTCTGCTTGAGTAACCATGCATTGGAAACACAGGGAACACTATTTCCAGCTCTTCTCAAACCCAGCCGTGACCTCCTGGGCCCATATCACAGAATCAGACCTCTAATATCATCAAGCCCAACTGTCAACCCAACACCACCGTGCCCATTAAATCATGTCCCAAAGTGCCACGTCTGCATATCTTTTGAACCCTTCCAGTGATGGTGACTCTCCCCCCTCCCTGGGCAGCCTGTTCCAATGTCTGACCACTCTTTCAGTAAAGCAATTTTTCCTAATATCCAGTCTAAACCTCCCATGGGGCAACTTGAGGCCATTTCCTCTTGTCCTGTCACTGGTTACTTGGGAGAAGAGACCAACACCCACCTCACCACAACCCCTTTCAGGTAGTTGTAGAGAGCGATGAGGTCTCCCCTCAGCCTCCTCCAGACTGAACACCTCCAGTTCCCTCAGCCACTCCTTATCGGACTTGTTCTCCAGACCCCTCACCATCTTCGTTGCCCTTCTCTGGACACAAAAACACGATATGATACACTAACACCCACCCTATGGGACACCAGAGGGAGGTCCTCACGAGGAGCCCTTCTCTTACTCAGCACAACAGAGCAGATAGAAATGAAGACCACAACATGACTGTGTATAGAAGCAGAGCTTGGAATTCCTAACAGGTTGGTTCCACAATGGAAATGTTGGTCTTTTTCACTTGAAAGAGCAGAAGCTTTCCATGGAAAGTTAGTGATTATTTCCTTAAAATTTATGGTGGGAGAAGACCATCTCCTTAGGCTGTGGCACAAGTCCTGTTTATCCCATAGAGTTAATGCCTCTTGTCCTTGCATGGCCCTCTCATTATGCTGCTGTTCCCTGTTAGTGTGGAATGGTTCTGTCCATGCCACGTTGTTTACATTGTGATTTCTTATTTTCTTTAGGTTTTTTTTTCTTACAGAAATGTGCTAAACCTATTCTAAGCACCATGAATTTTGCATCACTCTTGGTGTGAAAGGTGTCAAGAGATGTGTATGCATCCTCTCTGTATCTCTCAGTTTGACTTTGGGAGACTTCACTGTACCTGGAGACCCACAGTCCACCCCCAAGGAGCTAGGTGCGTCTAGCACAACTCTGCATGAATGCTTGCTTAAATCAATATACCTTGATTAAAAATATGCATGTTGCTGGGCTGATTGAAGAAAGCTTTTGTAAAAAGGTTATTCCGCATCTTGGCAGGAGCAGGATATCCTGGAATTTCAGCTGACGTCCATACCCAGCTATTGTGCAAATACAGAGGTATAAAGAGACCTCGCCTTACCTGGGCCAGGGGGGAGAGGCTGCAGCAAGGACACCTCTGTCGAGGCATCAGCAGGAGCTCCCAGGTGAGAGACCGGTTCCAAGTAAATGGCTCTTTATGAGACTGTCTTCTCTCTGAGGAGGACCAGCCATTTCTTTTCTGCCAGCGTACCTGCTCTTTGTGGGTGGGCTTTTGCTAGACGTGGTTGCTGGTTATTACACCACTGAAATGTACCCAAGTGAGGAGGACTGCTTGGCCAAAACAACTAAAATACTTAGAGATCTCATGTGATGAAAGGGGCTGCTTATGGAACAGGGGGGTCCCATGATGCTGCCCCCTGACTATTTCAGCCTGCATTTTCCAAATCACCTACCAGGCTCCAAGGGCATTCAGGCCTTCAGATAGAGATGATCTAATTGGCATTGCTTCTCTGGCACCTTATCTCCCATCAAACCTAACTGGAGCTATGGCTGATCCATGCTTGGCTGAAAATATAGGCCACTTCATAGCAGATCGAGGAGCTTATCTCTGTATCTCAATGAATGGTAGGAAACAAGCAAAAAAATGTTGGAATTCAGCGGCAAGGCAAGCTGCGGAGGCAAGTGCAGGCAGATACAGCTGTTTTTTCTTGATGAGACAAGCCAGTGAGACGAACTTTCAGAGTCACTCCAGAGGCTCCCCAAGTTTCTGCTCATGTCAATCTTGAAGTCAGCCCATTTTTGACGGAGAGATAAACGTTTCATGTGCCTCTCTTTCTCTTTTTTCTTTGCCTGTAACTTTGGGTATCTGTCAAGTTCTGCCTGAGTTGATCCTTTCTCTCAGTTGTTGCCAGCCAGAAGCATGCCTGCCTTTCCATTACTGTGTTCCCTCCTCCTCTGCAACGGTGTAATGGTCTCTGCACAGAAAAAGATCCTGAAGCTCCCTCATGGAGAGGAAGAAATCCCAGCTCAGATACGGACCCCACAGACTCTCTCTCGAGGTGAGTGAATGGGATGCTTGAGGCAGCCCTGAAGCTGTGTTTCCCTCCGTCACAGTGACTAGTGCGCACCCCCACACGTATATCCAAGCAGAGAAATGTCTGAGAGCAGCGGCTGGGAGATTTCCCCACTGTGTTCCAGTTGAAAAGCAGAAGCCCAAAAGTACCTTTCACGGGTGCCATTTCCACCATGGCCAAGAGCACTGGTGCGTTCAGCGGGAGAGAAGTCCTCACGCTCTGTGCTTGGGAACAGGTACAGGTGCTTTGCTCCCAACCTGGGCTGGGGACAGAGCCACAAGCCAGGCTGTTACACTAGCTGCTGGATCAGCTTTGCAGAGGCTGAGCTCAATAGGCAGCCACACCAGCAGCTCCCACCCCTACAAAGGCATGCTGTGTACGCAGGAGACCACAGTCACACAGCCAAGCTGCAGGCAGCTCAACCCTTCCTCTGTCTGCTTTCGTGCCAGCAAAGCCAGGCCAGACACAGGCAGCAGGCACATCCTCTTCCTCCCTGGGGGCTCCTTTGGGTGATGCAGGGCATGAGCAGGGTGCCATGTCCATTGGAAGGGGCTCCAGGCTCAGGTCCAGGCTTTGCTCCAACAAGTAAGATCCAGGCACCTCAGGCCAAAACCACTCTTGCATCCCTATCCTCCCTAGCCGCCGGCCTGTCAAGCAGTCCCTTACTGCAGGAAGCCATACACAAGCAGCAAGCCTGGCTTGGCTCTTTGGGAGGCTGAACCAGTTCAGGGAGGAACTCTGGGCTCCAGCTTTTGAGCAGCTGGAAATGCCTGTAATGCTAATCCCCCACCTCAGCTCTAGCAAGGCTGGAGTTTCACCCCCCTTCCCTATCAGCTGTTTCTTTGCACCTCTCTGCTCAGGACTCTCACGATACCCACAAATACCTTGAAGCTGTGGACACCCTGAGGGAGGGTGCCTAGTTTGTGCCACCCAATTACACGTGTGGCTCCAGCTCCCTGTTCAGCAGAACATCCTCATCCATACTGACGGAAAAATTAACTAAGGGTGCTCTCAACAGGCTGGGGAGATGACATTGAATGGGTGCAGACATACGAAGAAGGTTTAGCACGATCAAAGCACAGGTAATCCTTCATTTTTGTTATGCCCGTTCATATGTTTAACTGCACAGAACAAAGCTAGGCTCTAACATGATGCTCAGACTTGCAAGCAAGATATAGGTTGTATTTTGCGGTATGGTACAGAGGCTGAAGATTTTGGTGAGAGCTCAGCTTTTGGGAGATGAGCAAATGCCCTTGCCATGCCTCCAGTGTTGCCTTCTCAGTGATACATCCCTCTGTACGTGACCGTGTCCACACCTCTCTACTAGCCCAGTTGCTACTACTCATCACCATGTAAATATATTCCTGGAGCAACTCAGTGGCTTAACTCTTTGCAAGTGCTGTCTGTAAAACAGTCTTGAATTACCTCCCCACTCCTTTCCTGCAATGTCGTTTCAGCAAGAAGCCGCTGATGGTTATTCACCACTTGGAAGAGTGTCCTTACAGCCAAGGTGAGCAAAGCAAACCCTTCCAAAATACCTGGGAGATCCAAATCTGTCAGTGCTCATTCCTTACAAAGCATTTGAGCACTTGCATTAACTTTCCAGCACATGCAGGAAAAGTGGAGAGACACTAAATCCCCTGGGGACCCTTGAGAAGAGTTGGGGAATAGAACAGTTGTGAAGTTTTTTGGGGCAGTAACATGCTGTAGCTCAAATCTTCCCTGGCAGAGATACACAGCTACAAAACAGACAGGTAGACACCAAGCTCTCCTCCTTTATCCTCTTCCCCACCCCTGATCTCCTGTCAAATTATCTTTATAGCCTCATATTCACCGATCCACAGGGACTGCAACGTGCCTTTAGCAGCATATTTTCATCTGCAGACAAGAACCTTAGAAGTGCAATAGTTTACAGCACTGGAAACCTCAAATCATCTTCTGGCCTGCAAAAGCATCTGCTACGAACTGTTTTATACACTTTCCTCTTACTCTTCCGTGGCGTCCTGCCAAAGACTGTGTCAGACTACTCACTTGATAACCTCCTAGGTTATCGAGAACAAAGCGAGGTTTGTCAGGGAGGTCTGGCCCCACCATTTTTTACGAAACTTCTGTAAATTGCTACCCCAATGCATACAGCATAAATTGTGCGGACGACTCCTACGCTCTGTAGCACGGGGCCACAGACAGCCGAATAAAACCAAGCCATGTGCATTCATGACCTGTTCAGCCACCAGGAAGGAAGTTTGTCTGTACACAAGCGTTTCAGTTTCTCAAGGACTAAATGTCTTTCACATCTTACTTTACAAGAACCAAGTCCTCCAAACTTTGTGTGGCGTGTGCACATCAGAAAGTAGTGCCAGTCGTTTAGTGGTGTATTTAGAATCAATAGAAGATGCTGCAAAACCATGAAAAGCAGTGATCTAGATTTTTTTTTTCCACCCAAATAATGCATTTCTTTCTTTTAGCTTTAAGGAAAGCATTTGCCTCTAGCCCAGAGATCCAGCAGATGGCTCAGGAGGACTTTATCATGCTCAATCTGGTGGTAAGTTTGTATTTTTAAAATATTAATCAAAATGTTTACTGGAGAGTGGAAATAAACCATATTAAAAGTAGAAATAGATTCACTTTGTATGGCTTTGAAGCTGTATTTGAAATTCTCTTTTTTCTCCCACTTCTCTGGGGATGTACAACAGAGTTTGCAGAACACCAGCACAGTTCCTTCTTGGAGAGAGGGCAAGGAGACACTTCCATACACACATACACATACTCATTGATATGGGAATACCATTTTGTATACTCCAACCACAGGTAATATGCTGATACAAGGGAAAAATACCCAGTCATCAGGCTTTCTGAGTTACTTGCCTGGGGTTTCTGTCCTCATCCCCAAGCATCTAGCATGGGACAACTTGGACAGGACAGGGAAACTCCACATTTGATCATACCAGAATTGTTAGTTGTTGGTAGTCGAGGCAAGTTCAGTTGATTCAGTCCATTTCTAGCACTCAGTTACCTGTCACTAAGAGGCTACCTAACTCCGACAGCATCCCAGCAGCGATGACAACATGGCGCCCGACGGCCATTATGTTCCTCGGATCCTCTTTGTGGGTGAGTCTCTGGGGTTGGGGGAATAAGCAGCGCAGCGTTTTTCCTATACGGTCCCCATTAAATTCACATTGCTCCCAGTAATAGCTCTTATTCTTTTGAGCACTAAAGCTCTTTAACTCAGGCTTTCAAAAGGAACAGCTTAACTGGAAAAACCCAAATTGTTTAGCAATTGGAGCTCAAGTCTGGCATCCAAAACCACTAGTGTTTTTTTTTGTTTTTTTTTTTTTTTTTTTTTTAAAAGAGGACCACAACAGTCTTATTCCACTAGTGGAAATGAACAGCATGTCACTTATTAACTGGTAACGTATATCTTTTAAGAGTTTGGTCTTACTTACCATCAAACTGCTGGGTAGGAAGGGGACAACGTGCAATAATCTTGAGTCACCAGACAAGGCTTGTACGTAAAGGATCTGCTCATGATGGGTTCTCAGAAGTAGACTTCATTAACTTACAGCTGCCGAGAGCCTGGTGCTTCCAGATGCGCCTTTCCAGTCATGAAAAGGCCAATCAACACCATTTTAAAAGGCTTTTATCCTCACAAAATTATTCACCACCGCCCCACTCCACAGAGCCGCAGTTGCTAATATCTTGTACTTTTTCCCCCTCAAGATCCTTCAATGACAGTTCGAGCTGATCTAACTGGCAAATATGGGAACAGGATGTATACTTATGAACCAGAAGATATGTCGATCTGTGAGTCAAATGGACACTCTTCTGATGCCTTTTTGGCTATCCCAAGTTTATACAAGACAAATGTGGTTAAAGGAAGAGGGTGTAAGAGAATCTTGACAAATGCTGTATCTATTTCTGCAGTAAAATTTGCTCAAAGCCCTTTATAAACATGAATGAAGTAAATTTAGTCTAAGCGCCTTCTGGGGAAAAAAAAAAAACATTGCTGAATATTTCTGAAGAACAAGGCAGGAAAGCATGGGGAGATTTGTCCTCAGTGTCTGAACGCTGCTAGTAGTTTCCAAATGCCACCTAAGTTGGGCCTCAAACCCCCACCACTTTGTTTCAAGGCATTTGCAGACATGAGTGCGCTGCGGCTCTGCTTCATAATCTGAACCGCAGAAGCTGTTCCAATACTTCTTGCCCTAGAGGTAAGCAAAGTAAAAATCCCTATTCTGCGAGGGCTGGAATTAGTTCCTAAGGGTTGGTGTCTCTGCACTCCCCTCTCCTGGCTGCCCACTTTAATAGCACTTAGAGGATTGCATTTTTCTGAGGTCTCGATCCTCAGATCACAGCGAGTTGGGATGAGGCAGATTCAGAAGCTGTGGGTGACAAAACCAACCCCTTGCCACAGACAAGCAGGCTCACAGCAATGGTGTAATTTGGGTTCGCGGTCCTTTGCTTCTAGTTCTGCCACTTCAGCAGTGCACAGACCTTTGTCTGACACTCAGACAAAGCTTTGAGCCTCACGGGACGCCTGCAGAATGCGGAAAAGTGCATCTGTGCCACACACAAACTCCATCAGATGAACTGGTGTCTTCTAATGGCACTCTGTCCCTGCAGCACCGATTAAAACACAGCATTACAGAGACTTCTGCTAGCAAGAGGAGTTAGCAAAATAGTCCAAGAGAAGAAAAAAAATCTTCTCCCAAACCAGTGGCTTCCTATTTTCTAGAAGCCAATCGCTAATTGCAGTCAAAATCTGTTGCTGAGACAGAATAACTAGTCAAAACTACTCAAATTAAAAAAATACATGTTTTTAAAGGCTTTTTAGAGGTCTAGCTATCCAGAGTGGCTTTAATGTCCGATTTTAAGCTGTGTAGCTGTAGGAATCTTCCCTGTCACCTTTAGCATCTTCAGTGCTTTCTCCGCAGTGATCGACAACATGAGACAAGCGAAGCTGCTTCTGCACGCAGAGCTCTGAGCACGGGGCAGCACCGATCCGCACAGGGGGCCCGAGGCAAGAGCCACAGGTGCACCAAGAGACACGGCGCAGCATGCGTGTGCCGTCCTCGCAGGCCTCTTGCGGAGAAGCCACGCTCACGAGAACTCGGAGCAGCCCACAGTGCAAGGGATACCCGCAATGAGGCACCACCCACTGGTAATTTTAAGTAGCAGTTTATCTACGGGCTTTGCGATTACCATGAATAGAGAAGAATTTGCTTTGCTAGTGTTTACAAACTCTTCTTTACCCCAGTTAGTATCATTCTGAAAAGGATACTTAGATTGCGTTCAAAAAACATGTAGACGTGGCACTTCAGGACATGGTTTAGTGGGCATAGGGGTGTTGGGTTGATGGTTGGACTTGATGATCCATTTTTTTTTACTTGTTGCAGTGATTTTTCCACAGCACAATTTCTTTTTTTTTCCCTTCCTTTTTAAGCAAAAAGTCTTTTAGTTTGAAAACCTTTCAGTATAGTAAGAAACAAAAGCATGCAAGTGTAGCCTATAGTAAAAGAGGTTTTGTATTTCTATTGCTTTCTGAATTGGCATGCTTACTAATGTGAATGTCAAAAAATTGTTTTATTATTATTTGTTAGAACTTTTGCCGTATAATTCAAACAACAAAAATAAAGGCTTAGTCCATTTCCTTTCCAGATTTCCTTTCCTTGTTCTCTACATTATTTTATGGGCACGGCCATAATAAAGAAAAACCTCTGCAGCACTGAGCAAGTCCCTCTTACCACAACCGTTAACCAAGTTCGTTCAGCCTCCAGCCGTGCACACTGAGTCTATGATACGAAAATCAAGAATTTGTAAATCCCCGCAAGTAGACTCTGACCGGGGAAGCTTTAATGGTTTTGTACACCACCCAAAAGGACGATACGCCCCATGCATACATTATAGCTGTGGATGTCTTCTTTCCACCATAACACCAAATTTATCAGCCAAGTTAGACATTTATTACGGAACCCAAAGGGGTGCCAGTTTAACAGAAACTGTAGTGGTTGTACCAACTTACCATGAGGAAAAAAAAACCCAACCCTATCACAGCCTGTCCCTGCCAGGAGTGTCCAACGGGAACAAAACAAACGGCACTAGCTAACAAATCCCCTTCTCCTTACAAGCACAAGGGCTGGTGGGCAGGAGGAGAGTTAAACTTCTTAAGGCGTTAAGAACACAGGTATAACTCACAGAAGTCACCCGGGAGCTGTTCCATAAGCACAGGCTGCTGGTGGGGGCTCCCAGTCCAAAACGCGGCTCTGGCCAGCAATGGCAGCCGGGGGAGATGGCTACGGCAGCAGAATCACATGGCGGTCTCAGCAGCTTCTGCCCGAAACACGGGAGATCACGAGTGCGCTCAGAAGCGATCAGTGATCACCAGGGAAAAAAGGGATTAAAAGAATTTGAAGACGAGGCCTGCAGCAGATTAAGCCCCCAGGAGAAGGTGCAGACGAGGCAAAGAAAAGGGCAAATAGGGGAACCGGGGAGAGGAGCAACTCCGGGGTTACCCAGCAGAGACAGGAGGGCTGGAGGGCTTACCTTGGCCATCGGCACGTTGCGACCATCTCTGCAAACCCTGGCTTGCAACAACACTTGATGCAAAGTAAGATGGAGAAAGCAATTGGCTGTGTTCACTTCTCAGTCAGAAAAACCTGTCCATGAAACCAGGATTTCAAGATTCAAGTGAAGCCTACCTACAACCGAAACAGTGGGGAAAGTGAAGTAAGGGAGCAGTTCCGGGAGGACGGCGACGAGCCAAGTGATGCCACAGGAGCCGGGGAGTGTCTGGGGGGACACCCGCGTCGGGAGGCTGCCAGCACAGCAGGGCAGAAGCCCTGCAGGGCCCAGCGAGCGTCGCCTGCCCCGGGCTGGGATGCTACCGTTAAGTGAACGCACGCAGGAAATTAAACGCGGTTAATCCCTGGGAGAAGTAACAGTTCCTTAACTCCAGTAAAACTTGTCAGCGAGGAAGCAAGAACAGCCTAAGGCCAGTTTTGTTTTCTTTCTTCTAAACAGCATTTCTCCCCAGTGATTAGCAAGGAAATTTTAGCAAAAGCACATGTTTAAGCCTTACCGATCACCACCTGAATACAACCCCCAGAAGCAAAATCTGCATGGTTAAAGTTTACGGAAAAGCTTTGTACTGTAGGAATTCATAGATTTGTTAACCGTAAAGCTGATACTCTCTTAGCAAGAAACCCACAAACTAGCAAGATCGATGCTTAAAAGGCACGAATGCCTCGATCAGACAGGAGCAGCAGCAGTTTGCAATGCAAACTCCATTCAACAAACACAGCTGACGGGCCTCCGCCGCCCAACGGCAAGAAAGATCCATGGAAAGAGCTGTATCATTGCATTTACCTCCGCTGACCGAAGGGTCAGCCAGGAGACAGAAAAATAAGTTAGCTCCACTGACTGGAGGGCTGGGAGCTCTCAATTCTTGCTTTCTCTAAAGCTCACTTGCCAGCTCAGCTTGGCATTGCTCCCTCCTGGATATGGCAAGGGCTGAAGATGAACCCCTCGGTCCCTGGCAATGTCGGCGGCAGCGCCGTCTGCAAGGGCCTCCGGGGCGCGAGGGCTCCATTCGGTGGCGGCTGGGGGAGAATTAAAGGGAGCAAGAATGACTTTGCTTTTTGAATGGGCCATTCCCTCCTGCTCCATAATCAATTCAGCAAACTGGAATGAGTTATGAGGAAAAGAAAAAGAAAAAACACACAATTTTCTCGTAAGACGACTCCCAGAGCTCAACATCTGCTCTTTGACAGGGATGGCACTGGGAACGGACAGGAAAGACAATCATTCCTTTGCAACCCGTGTTTCTTACTCTGTGCAAAGCCACAACCCTCTAGGTGATTTATACCAGTTCCCTTGAAAAATAGATCAGATTTATTAATCTGTTCACAAACAGGGAGTTGAAATAATGGGAAGTGAATACTAGACCATGCTTTGTGAAAATGGGTGAAAAAGAATAAGCTAAAAATCTTTAACTTGCATCAAAATCCCAGTCCTCCAAAAACCAGGTCTTTGCACATTGCGACCCCAGCCAGCTTAGGGAAACTTCTCGCAGAGGGATGGGAAAGCTGTCTTAGGAAAAGATTTGAAAATTAAAGCTTAATGAAGGTTGAACCCCATCCAATGTTAGAAAGCAATTCATGTCATTCCAAATCAACGTATGGGCGAGATATGCACAGACAAATCAAATAGACATAGAGAAATGACTTTTTATTTTGTGAAGAACACTTGAAAAATAAAGATGAAAGCTTTTCCAGGCTTTGGAATATAACCATCATAAACTGTGGAATCACAAAGACTCCATTTAAAAAGGTGTTGCCTCTCCCCACCCCCATTTTTAGTGAACCCCCTCATTGTGGAATGACCCACAAAAGAGTTTTAAGAAAAAATTATGCATTTTGAGCCAGCATCAGAACTAATCCAAGATTGGTTCAGTGCAGGCGCTGCTACATTACACTTTAACAAAGGCACGTGCTAAAAATCCCGCCGTTAGTACATGTAATCCGTATTTAAATTTCTCCAAACTTTGCGTTTTCAAGAAGAGACCAGAGTTATTAAAGGTAGGTGGGAAGGCTGAGTTCAGCACGGCTGTCCAGCAAGGAACGGAAGGGATTAAAGTGACAACAAAGTGTGTGCAACGCCACGGAACAATCTGCAAACACAAAACCTTTCTTGCTTTACCTTCACAATCGGCATGTGCGACCACCTCTGTAAACCCTGGCTCGCAAGAACACTTGTTGATGCAGAAGGCAGCGACACAAAATAAGATGGGGAAAGCAACTCTGGCTGCGTTCACCTCACAGGCAGAAAAATCTATCCGTAAAACTAGGATTTCAAGATTCAAGTGAAGCCTACCTACAACCGAAACAGTGAGGAAATTAAAACAACCCCTTCTTGAGTGAATCAGCCTAAGAAAGCACAGAAGCACCCAGCACCCGCTGAATTTTCAAGATATGCAAAGAAATAAATACTAAGCATAAACTTCAAGGTGCTTTTGACTTCTCCCCCCGCCCCCCTGCCCGATAGCAGTGTCAGTTTTTGTCTTGAAGCTGTCTGAAATACCAGACTATTGTTAACCTCTAAAAGGTATGTGAGAGATGTTCTCACATTAGCCGAAACAGTAGTAGTCTGTTGCACTGGCATCTTCTTCTACACAATTGACTACACGTACTCAAAACAGGTTAAACGTTTATGGTAGCCCCCAAAAATGACTTGTATTTTTGTATTTGTTGTATTTTGTCCTCTCATTAGCACAGTTTTAATTAAGGATACTTCAGGCTATGTTCAAAAGCTATTTTTCAACAATCGCTTTGCTCATTTCGGAACAGGCTTCCGGGTGTTTGTGCAGCTCCACAAGGCTCCGCAGTGTGTCCGACAGCAGACTTCACTCGAGACGGGAATCTGTTTGCACCAGCTCCCTGCTGTAAAAGGCAAACACGTGCTGCACAGAAACACTTGTGCGTTATCTTCCACCATTCCATTTTCACCTCATCGTTCAAAATGTGTTTAGAATTTGGTTATAAACAATTAACACCATTAAGAGTTTGGGTTAATCTGTCAGTACTAGCTGTGCTCAAAGGAAATTCTGAACGTGATGGGAAATTAAGTTATGAATAGTCACATACAGTGGGGGAAACACAGTTTAAGTATTGTAAGTGTTAGAAAGGTTTTGATAAAGATGCTGAAACATCAGCTTCTAGTAAACCCTGATTCCCAGCCTCAGGGGTAAGAAAACTATGGTCTCTCATCAGCCAGTTATGTGTGTCCTCAATGTTGAGATCCAATCTCACAAGCATTCGGTAAACATTTTACTGAAGAACCTCCAACACTGAGTTCAGCTGGTAGTCAGCCACATACGTCCCCTTCCATTACGGAGACTGTAAATCAGCTTTGTGGCACCAAGAGAAGTATTTTCTTTTTCTCAAATGTAACAGAGAATACCAGAACGAATGGAAAGATAAGAAATGAAGGAAAGTCCTCTGAATAAGAGTAGTAAAAATAAATACAAGCCTTTTTCCTGAGTATAATAAAACCCACTTAAGACCAAACATCAGATCTGCCAATTTTTTCCATCACTTTTGTTTGTTAATGAAGCTTCTGGACAACAAAAAGGCCCTAGAAACATTAAAATATAGGGTTACCGCACTCTTGTTCCATATCACAAAAATCTTCAAGTTTTAGAGCTTGACAGATTCTGAACTTGCTCTTTTTTGAGCTAATTTAGTACATTTCATCCAGAGATTTCCACATTTCCTTCATTCCTGAAATCTGAGCTACTACAAACTTAAGTTTCTTTAATAAAGAGACAAGAGCCAATTCTGGTATCACTAGTAACTTCAGTCATCAGAGATGGAAAAAAAAAAAATTCCTAAAAAGAGGTGATTATAACTGCATGAAAAAACCCAGCAAACTCTGTAGTGATGGTGCAAGACATCAGCATCTGACCCAAAAAAAAAAAAAAGCGTTTAAGGTGATTACAAAACAGTCACCAAAAGGTTACACGATATATTAATCAGTCTTCTCATGGATAAAGTGCGTTTACCTAGCCTGAGAATAAGTACCACATTATCGGATGCTAAAAAATGCACTTCCCCAAGAGACATTAGAAGAAAAAATCAGAGTCATCCTAAATCCAGTTTTTCTCAGTGATTCTTGAGGACACTTCGGGAAAGACCCTCTTGCTGGCCCAGTTGAGGTACTCCATTCCAGTTTAGCACGTTGGTGGTATGGTCTGGTCAGCAAATCATCTCCAGTTGCTATCTGAAAACACCCACACTGATAGAAAGAGCCACTTCTGGTTTACGGTGCTTAATATTTAGCTTCTCCTCAGAGAAAACATGGTCCTGTAAGCGTTCGGCTTGCCGACTATTAAAAAGAAAAAAAATTAAGATGCCGAGTATTAGTGTTGAGCCTTAGCACCGACCGCAGCATGAGCCTGACCGGAACCCCATTTCCACTTAGTTGTAAGAATGACATTGCAAGCTCACACTTACAACCTGTGCAGGGCTGGTGCAGCCAAGGAGTTCATTTTCCATCTCCAAAGGCAGGGACAAATGTGTTGCAAAAGAAAAAACTCTTGCACAGTGTAAGAACATGGCACTTAAAGCCAGGAGTTTGAGTTACCCAAGCACTTCCTTCAGGACTATTGGCATTGTGTGCCCTGACAGCACCCAGCTAGCACTGTCCCAAAAAATTATGCAGGTATCCAAGCTATCCAAAGAACAGTTTGCGTGTTTCTAAAGAAAAATAAATGTAAATACTCAATACCTTTTCTTTTTTTCTAATGCAAGCTGCCTTTGTTTCTCTTTTCCAATGTCATCTCTCACTGTGCTGAAGTCTTTAGTGTCATCAAGGAGAAGATTCTGTTGTGAAAAAGGATTTGGTAGATGAAAATTATAAGCTTAAACCATTTCCCACATGTTGCTCAGTTTACACAATTTTCAGAGCATTTCCTCTAACTAGTTTTACAGCAGTTAACTTCAGGTTAACTAAGCGGAAAAGATTCAAAAAGTTTTTCCACTCCTCACTTTAGTATTTGCATTTAACAGTGAATTTGGCTTATTCAGAGATTCCTCTCCATGGTCCAATACATCAGGACATCAGAATTATTGCCTATTGCTTTAAAACCCAGCGAGTATGTTCCTTCAGAGGTCTCCCAAATAAGCTTTATTGCTAATTCAGAGCTCAATATACTGCTCTGTAATTCTTTTTTAAATAATGACATAGATCTGTAATAATACTTCGGAAAATGTAATGGGTCTAAATTTACAATATGATTTTTAAAGGCACCGGTCTTGGATTTTACTCCGAGTTGGAAAAAAAATACAGTCAATAAAATGAGGGCAAGGAAAGATCCAGTTCCTTCTGGATAGCGTTCAAGTGTAGAGCAGAAACTGCCTGCTTGCGCTGGCTGAGCTGCACGAGAGCCTCCAAGGTATTGCCCTCTAGCGCCAGTACCGAGATATACAGGGAGAAGCATGAAACTTCCATCAGGTTGATAAAGAACAGGAGAAAAAGAAGAAAAAGCACCAAGGCAACAAATTTCCTATCTGCACACAGTAGATGTGTCCAAATCCACATACCAGTGCTTTCACAGAGATGTAGCAGGATGCAGGAAAACCAGGAAGAAATTATGATACTGCAAAGGGGACAGTCCCTGAACCTCATCCTTGTACAACAATTAGTCAAGTTAATTTACCTTCACCCCAATGATATCTCCATCTTTCAGGTGGTAAGGTGCTGACTGTAAACTCTCCTGTTTTTTCTTCCTTTTCCTCTTTGAAATCTGCTGTGTCTGAATAAAATTAAAGCAGAAGATTCATATACGGCAGATTTCGGAAATCTGCTTAAATACTTTTGCTCAAAAACCACAGCACAAGCCAACACATACTTCTCTCCAAACAACGTTCGCATTCTGTCATTCCAGATCTTACCCAGCTAGATATTGGCAGCCACTCAAATTTTTCAGGGAAGTATTTGGCTATTTCAATTTTATCTACAGGGAGACAATAGTGAGAAGCCACTCGTTGCCTCAGTGCCCAGGTTGTGCATTCTTTGGAGATATCCCAAACCAAATCCGAGGAGTCATAGTAGTCCCTCTCCCCTGGTATGCCCATCTGGACTCGAAGCAGCAATTCATGCGGGCTGTCATCAGGAAGAGAAAATAGACTGTTCTTGTGAATCATGCTTTCAGAATCCATAATTCCCAGTTTTCACTCCCTTATTTTGGTTTGTGGAAAACAAAAAATAAGCTCCAAAGTATTCTCTATCCTGATATTTGTAATCCTGACAGACAGTATTTAAGTTAAAAACTGCTCAATTAAATCTTATCTCAAATGCCTTACTGTAAGAAATAGCTATCTTGAGACCTTACCCCAAATGCTCTTCTTTTTGCAAAGGTTCGATGCAGATTTCCACTCTGGCACCCAGCTTATAGTCACTGAAAACAAAACAAAGATTATATGCATTTCCAGTCACATATTCTAAGTTCCTGAGTAGAAAAATCACTGATGTGGTCAAGTAGACCTGCACTTATCTGGAAAACCAAAGCAAGAGGCTATTGGGACAAAAATGAAAAACTCAGAAAAGTACAACTGCAGTTAAAAACACCTAGAATAAAGCTTAGCAGAATAAGCATGGTATTCTACTTAAGCTCACATTTCTCCCTTCCACAGCTCTCTAGTTAAAAAACAAACATGCTCGGCAAACAATTGAAGTAACCAGAAACGAGCTTTCTGCAGACATTTGACTGAGCTGATCTACTTCCCCACCAGCCCATCCCACAACCCAGTCAACAGTCAGGCTGATGCAACGCTGCTTGAGTGTTCAATAAGAAACCTACTTGAGTTGCTGCTTGTTGTTTCTCAAAAGCTTGCCTGGGCGCCTACTGTCCACTGTCCATGCTCTGAGAAAGGAGGGCAGTGGGACAACCTGTTCCTGGCAGCACGGTAAGGTCATAGCCTGAAAAAAGAAACCATTTCTTCAGTAATTTTAGCAGCCAGTCTCCTTGGAAAAAAAGAAAACCACTTTATTAATTCTCAATGCAATACTGAAGCAATCAGAAATAGGGCAAGGTATTTAGATTTATTGCACACCAGCTGTTCTTTGTGACTTATATGTAGTGGCTATGATCAACGTAATCACTTTTCAACCTCAAAGCAAGTTGGACTTCACTCCCTCCCAACATTTCTCAACTTGACTGAAGTTTCCAAAGTACCAAATCTTTTCAACCAAAAATTGTACAACTGGGAGGAAATGAGGCTGACAGAATCATCACCCCAATCTCTAGCCAGGTGTTCAGCAAGCTCCTTTAAGTCCTTACCAAGGACACAATACTCTTTCCATGCTAAGACACTCTCCTTGTTCACAAGATGCAAAGGGTCAGCTTTTTCATAGCAGTAGGTTGCCAGAGACTGAAACTGAAGTCATACCCAAAAGACTAAGTGTTGGTATGGATCAAATCAGATGAGATATTCTTCACCATGCAGTTTAAGCAGAACAACCAACTGGCTAAACAATAAAGAGCCTTATGACAGGATTGGTTTATGTCTTTTTGTGGTTTTGGGATAGTTTTTTTGGCTGGGTTTTTGTCTTTTTTCTTGGGGGGAGTGTGGGTTTTGGTGATTTTTTTTTTTTTTCAGTGTATTAAAATCATACTTTTATGGTTAAAAAAAAAAAAAGCATAAACAGGCACCTTAGCTTCTGGCCAAAGAAACTAAGCTATACCTTCCTGAATGACAACATGACCTTCTGTGCACCGAAAGCAAATTCTTTATTCATTAAACATACAAAAATAATAAATAAAGGACGCAGAGAACTAATACAGGAACAATGTGGAAATGGAAAGTGGCTTTTTAGGAAGTGCTCGTATGTGTGTGCTTCTCATGAGTAATTTTTACATCGTGAAATAAAGATAGGGCTGCAAGCCAAAGTTCCAGATGAAGTGCAACAAGGCTTTTGCAGGTCAGGACACATGACAGGTAGAATGGCAACTGCAGGGGACATACTAAGGAAGTATCTGAGCTACATGCTCCAACTGCCTCTTGGTACTTACCACTGAACATGGCATATAAGCAAATGCCATATCAGAACATACTGGAGACAAGGGAAAAGGAAATAGAAAATATGTATTAATAGAGCTCCATTAATCACAGTGTTGCTGTACATTTCCAATACAGGAGAACATCTAACCTGCATCTTCAGATCTTCCAAAGAAGCTTCTCCTGCTATTTCTATACTGCCAGCATAACAAAGATCCATGTCTGTGTGGATGCCTTCTGGTGAATCTTTAGATGGGGGGGAAAGGAGGGGAAGGAAGAAAGAAACAACAGAAGAGTCAACATGACTTTGTTTATCATCCCAAGAGATAACAGTCACTTCAAGGTGAGAAGGGACCTGACCTCAATTTTTTTGGAGAGCATTTAAAGAAACATAATATACAGTTGATAAAATACATTCTGTCAGTTGCCAAACAGGAAGAGTTCCAACTGATCCTATACTGTGAATTTTAAAACATAAGACCAGTTACTCACACTGGTAAATAGAATTATTGGTTATGACTCTGAAATGTAGAGCATGTTGCAAGGAAAGTTAAATCTGCTCTTACCTACGTTAATGAAATCATTGGGGAGAAAATAGAAGAAGTTTGAGAGAAAAGGAGAAAAATGCAAATAAACGGTCTAAAAGGAGAGGGGTCCTGCTCTGCACCACAAATCAGTAGCAAAGGAAGAATATTTTTTTTTTTGGTAGAAAATGAAAACAGGTTTGTTTCCCATTTTCCAATTTGCAGTTGTCCCTACTTCATTCTCTTCTTTCTCAACCCTCACTTGATTTTCCTACCCTAGCTGGTTTCTGATTTGAACTTGACCTTTAGAAAAACACACACAGGTTAAAATACTGTATGTAATGTCTTTTATTTGATGTAAGATTTGCTCATCACTCCTTTTACAGGTTCTCAAAAAGCAACATAGCCTGAAGTAAATTAAATGTGATACTAGCAGTCTGGCATTTGAAGCCAATCACCTGTATGCTCATCGAGTAGAAGCTTTACAATACTGACACTGCCTTCAGGTATGGAGAAGCCATTGTATTTATTGACAAGGAAAGGGTCCCTGCTTCAAAATTTAGTGGAGGTCTTACCCTTGACCCAATATAGCTAAGGAACATCAGAACGGTACCATCCAGCATTCACGGCCTTGTAAAAAATTGCATCTATCTATCTCCTAAGTGGCTCCTTTCACCATAAACTTGCTGAAACTTCTACAGACACTTTTCAGCTTCAGAAAGATTTTAAGGCTTTGGATTAAAAATTTTGGTTTTGACTCAAAGTCCTCAGTGCACCCTCAGACAACCAGGCCATACGATTCCTTTCAAAAAGTGATCAAGCTTACCTCCTGCAGGAGACACCTGCAAAGCATCCATCTTGCAGGCCATCCCATTCATTTGGTCTTGGGCATTCTCTCCATGTTTCATATGACTTGAAGACTTGAAACACCAGATGGGTATTTTCAGGAAACCCTGAAAAGTGAACAGAAAGCACTGGGTACCTTATGTGTTCCAGTGCAATGTAAAATTTTACCTTCAATCTCAGGAAGAAGGAAAATACTCAGCTCAAATCTGAGTATTTTGTAAAGGCACCAACATTCATTTAAAACCACAAAACATCAACTCTCACCTCCTACTTTTACAGGGACAAGAGAGAAAACAATCCAGCCTCATGCACCCTAACATCACCATCCTGGCTCTGCTGTCATGGCATCTAACATTACGGATGCAACTGAGTGACGCTGTTGTCTGAAGCTTTGGACACAGATATGACCTTGCAGGAGGAAGCTAGATTCATCTAAGCTCACCAACTGCAATGCTGCTCTGCCATTTCAGGAACTTCTGATTTTCTTACCTGCTCTGCATGGCCAGGAAGGGACACTAAGTTGATACTCCTTTCCTGAGCTGGAGAGGCTTGCTTTGTTGCTTTCTTTCAAGTGCAGCTCTGAACTGGGCTGTCAACACTCACTGCACTGCTGCCATAAGCTCTTACCCTACTTTTTTCCTTCCGAGAACAAACATATTAAAAATATCTGGTTTTCCTTTATGAAGCTGTATTCACCATGGACTTGCTAAGATCCATATTGTCTGCCCACTAGTTCTTGCACAGTCTAAGAAGCCTTCTGTTTCAACTTACAACGCCCTAATACTTCAGGGGATAGAGCAGAGGTACAGACCCATGTTTTTCCATGTCATTTGTATTTGCTCATTAAGACAGCAACTGTGCTTACTTCCCTCCTTCCCCTCCACAGCCATAGCTGGGTCACAGTCTGAGGAAAATGTTCTAGGGTATGAAGACAGCCACTTATATGAGATTTTTGCCTATGCAAATGGGCAAAAAAGATTTATGCCTATGCAGGGCAAAAGTCTAAGCTTTATGTAATCCATAAAGATCAGATGCTTCACAAACAATATTTGTGAAGAGCTCCAAAATTTGTTGGATAAACGGGAAATCTTGTAACACCACTATGTCTCTGCAGAAAAGCTTCAGTGTGAGAATCACAAACGCACGACCTGCATGAAAACACAATCTATGTGAAAACACAAGTTCAGAGGGAAGGGGCTGATGGAAATGGAGACAGGCATACCACAGCTGCCAAAGTAAATTAGGACTGTAACTACTCCTCTAACATGGCTACAGGAATAATCAGTATTGGTGGCCTCCCATAACTGCCCATGCAACTATCCCTATAAGATACCTCTTGGGCAACATGCCTCCCAAGTTTGTCGAGGGCCTGACTGATGTTATTTTTGAAGATGTTCACTTGCAAAAAATCCTTCCAACAGGCTCCTCGTGTCACACCAGCACCACAGCCCCAAGGATGCCAGGCCCCCTCCTCCCCTCTCCCTTGGGGTCAGTGCAGAAGAGATGGCACCTCTGCATGCTTCAGAGGCAGGAGGACAGGGAAGAAGGGCCCACGCAACACTTGCCAATCGGCAATTCTTTTAGGGAGTGCTGGGAGACCTTCCGCAGGGCAGCTGTGCCCCCCGTTTCCTGCCTGTGGGAGGTCTGGATGCTTTTGCCCCCTCTCAGCCACTGATGGGTACGGGGAATGGGTACGGGGAGCTGTGCCACGTGCAGGGAGTTGGGGTGGGGGCGGTCATTGAGGACCCCCGACCCTCCTGGAACACCGTTGCCACCATCTCACCCAGGGCACCCCAAGCGTGGGATGAGCAGGGGGCTGGAGCCCAGGGCACACGAGGGGAGGTGGAGGGCAGTCCCTGTGCCCAAGGGGCAGCAGAATGGCACAGGGGAGCGACCCCCAGGAAAGGGGCTCTTAGCCCCCCCACCTCCTTCTCCCACATTACGGCATCCTTCATGCCACAGGTCCTCTCATGCCAAGAATACTTGGCACCAAGAGGACCCACAGCAGCAAGGCAGGCTGCCCACCTTTGAGTCAGAGAGAAGAGAGATGGCTGCAGAAAGGATGGAAGAAGAGGAGGCAGTGCCAGAGGGGAGGCACCATCAGCTGCATGGTAGCAATGGTCATTGCTCATGCGGTTGATGGAGTGGAGTCCATGGAGCTGGATCCACCTGAAGACCAAGAAGAGCTGATGGAAGTGGATCCATATACAGCATGGCTACCACGGCATCACTACACCATGCCAGAGCTCCCTTCCATGACACCACGCCGATGGCAGCGCAGGAGTGCCCGGCCAGCATCCTACCATGGGTCTGGCTTCTGCACCCAGTGTTAGCTGGGAGGCCCAGCCTCCACAGCCGTCCATCCTGCAGGCTCACCCATTCCACCTCTGGGCAATCAGCAATTATTCTGAGCCCTCCCCTACCCCTGCTGCACCCCTCCTGAAGGGTGCCATCTCCCCTGCTCTGAGCCCCAAGAAAAGGGGACCAGACAACATAGCTTCCGCCAGGCTGCTGTGCCAACGCCACAGGAGTCGACCCTCAGAGGGTCACCAAGGTCCTTGGAGCCTGGAGGTGGGGTTCCTTCACTCTAAGGATAAGGGTGGTTGCAGATGAGACCCCACCTGTAGTACTGCATCCAGCTCTGGAGCTCTCAGCACAGGAGAGACATGGACCTGTTGGAGCAGGGCCAGAGGAGGCCCCAGCGATGCTCCGAGGGCTGGAACAGCTCTGCTGGGAGGACAGGCTGGGGGGGGCGGGGGGGCTCAGCCTGGAGCAGAGAAGGCTCCGGGGAGACCTTCCTGCAGCTGCCAGGGCTGAGAGGGGCTTAGAAGAAAGATGGGGACAGACTTTTTAGCATGGCCTGTAGCAACAGGACAAGGGGTGATGGTTTTAAACTAAGACGTAGATTTAGACTAGATATAAGGAAGAAATTTTTCACCATGAGGGTGGTGAAACCCTGGCCCAGGTTGCCCAGAGAGATGGTAGATGGCCCATACCTGGAAACATCCCTGGTTAGGTTGGACAGGGCTCTGAGCAACCTGCTCTAGTTGAAGATGTCCCTGCTCACTGCAGGGGTTGGACTAGATGACCTTAAAAGGCCCCTTCCAATCCAAACTATTCTATGAATCTAAGATGAAGCCAGACCCTCCACAGCTGTGCATGAAGAACAGTGACAGATCGAGCAAAGAATTGAGAGAGACAGCTGTTCCTCTGGAGAAGACCACAAGTCTGCCAGGAAGAAGTGCTGGCTGTCAGCAATAAGGTCCCTTCTAGCTGCTTCATTAGGAGTTCCTTTCAAGATTGTTTATTGCCTAATTTAAAAACCCCAATAAACCAAGAAAAAGAACAGAAAGGATGCTTTCCTCCTCTCTTATTTGGTACTCTGGCAACTGCATCTGGATTCCTCTGTCCTCTCCTGGTATCCTCAGCCCAGGACAGACAATGATGGGTGGGGTGTGGTCCCAGCCCAGGACGTTCAAAATGGTGAGAGGCCGGGGCACTCAGCGCACGAGGGCAGGTTAAGGGAACTGCCTCTGGTCATGAGGGTGGTGAGACCCTGGGGCAAGCTGCCCAGACAAGTTGTGGATGCCCCATCCCTGCAAGTGGTCAAGGTCAGGTTAGACGGGGCTCTGAGCAACCTGATCTAGTGAAAGATTGGAACTAGGTGATCTTTAAAAGTCCCTTCCAACCCAAACCATCCAACATTGCTTGAGGTCTGTTAGCAAAGAATCCATTTGTATAACCATCACTGACAAGAGAGTCTCCCAGTAGGGTCCTCCATTTTCAAACACGATCCTCAGTACAAATCTGAACTGAAGGCAAACACTTTCCTCTATTTTTATGATTTTGTGAGGAAGTAGTAGTACAGGACTTGTGCCTTCACAAGAACCTTGCATGCCAGAAATACCCATTTCCTCCAGATCTGTCAACCTTAACACACTTCTAGGCAAAGAAGCTGCAATGGGCAAGTGTTGTACTACAGAAGTTGAAAGAATAAATATAGAAAAAGAATATCAAAAATGTTGACTGAAATAAAAAAAAAACTGTGAAACTACAGAAAGCATTATTTATTATTGCTAACCAGAAATTTTCTGATGGAAGTATTTTTAAGATAAGCAAGAGAAAAAAAAAGAAACTACTATCATATTCAAGTCTCCAGACACTGTCAACTGACTAAAGAACACCATCTCTCTTGTTTTACCTTTGGTGGAAGCTTTCCTTCAGTTATAACCAAAGTATCTCCCCTGCAAACATTTAGCTCCTTCAGAGTGGCATTCTGTAGGAAGAGAAAGCACAGCATTCTTGTCAGTCTACACGTTCTTTGTTTCCTAACGTGTGTGTTAGCGGGTTTTTAAGCCATGCGTGCCAAAGGTCCAAGGTTTTTGCTCTTCCACCAAAGGGCACAGAAACAGCCATTTAGCATCCACCTCTTGGAGGCAGCTTTGCAGCAGCACACAAGTGCTGCACCTAGAGGACTCTGCTCTGCAGGAGTCCTCCCAGAGCATCCTGTTGAGCTGTGGTTTCCTCTGCACCTCCACATCTCATCAACTGACACCTCACGCTTCTTTGAGAATGTCTCTTTAATGCATGGTAAACCCAAACTTTAGAAAAAACTGTGTGGATATGGCTTAATCCTAGTCCCCGAAAATAAGAAGCAGGTGCACAAGACTGGCATTTTAACCATAGGTATCCCAACATTGTCTTCATAAGGCCCTGTGAAAATAAAACAGGGTGTGTACTAACGTAGCACATGCAAAAACACCACCCATTTGCTTTAATGTAGCTCTCTTCAGGGAAAGTCTCTGCAGAAAAATGGAGTAAACAAACTACTCCATGATTCAAGTAAAAAATAGCATCCTCTTACTTCCTGACTTAATGCTTCCCCTGCTTCATAGCACCAGTCGATCCTTCTCAAATGCCAGTTGTCACCTGCCAAAAACATACATATGAAAAACTAATTAGCCAACAAGGCTGTTTCAAAAACACATTACAAAACTCTCAATAAGCATTAAGGGATTCTTTTGCTTGTTTTTGTTTGTTTTTTAAACACAACTCTGACAAACTGAATGAAGTACCACTTTCATGTCTGTCCCAAGACCCTAGAGGAACACTTTGCTGTTTGGAAATGGTCTTCTCTTATTTGCATAAATGTCTCTTCCTCACCTACCTAATTAATTTCCCTGGTTTAAGGGAACAGCGAAGGAATTCCCATGACAATTTGCCATTTGAGTCAATAACAGGCTCATTAAAACAAAAACTACACTAAGGAAAAAATCCAACTTCCCCTTCCTGACTGTCTACCAGGAGAAAAAAGACTGTGTAGTCCAGAAACGACAATACTTTGGATTTAGCATCTGTATATAAAGTGCAGCAGGTACAGAAGGAACAAATACAACTGAACTTTTTCATTCGACCCACTGATAAAAATGCACTTTATTGTTTGCAAGGTACAAAATTTGACTTTCATAACTAAAAAAGGCCCAAGCTTGAAGGAATCTCGTCAATAAATTTGGGGGCGGTGTGTGGACAACAACACCTTGCAGTCATCTTAAACAAGAACATCAAAATCCACTGAAGTCTGACATTTCTTTGAATGACAGCAGTCAGATCATGATTCTCCACACAAGGCCAAATTCAATTGTTCAAAAATGGTAATATAAAATAAAGGAATAAAAACAGAGCCATTGTTTCCTGGCAGTAAACCCTCACTATAGGGAAATGAAAAAGGTTATTTCAAGACATTATTAGCTACTTCAACTCATACGTACATGTACACAAGAGCACAATATTTAATTTTCATTTGGGCTACTCAATGTATATTCTGACAGTCATGTCTTTCAGGTTCAACTTTTATTGTTTTTGGAGCGTGGCTGAATTTGCAGCCATCACTTTACTGTAACACAAATTCAGTATTCAATGAATGTTTAGAATGAAAGTTGGAAAATAATGGCACTCCAAGTCTCTTCTCCTCCTTCCTCCCCATCAGCATCAATGGAAAGACATGTTCAGCCAGGAAATTCGTGTGTCATGCCAGTGCTGCCTACATCTCCTCCTTAATCCACACATAAAAGCTTAGTAATGAGTAACTGCTACCACTCAAATTCCTAAATAATGGCCAAACTGTGATCTCATTTTGAATAACTTGTTTTTGCAAAGCCACCAAGAATTACTTTTTACAGTTAATCCCATGCAGTGGTTCCCACTACAATAGAAAAATCTCATCAAAGCAGCCACACAGCCCCACCTGCATCCAAGCAAATAGTCTAGGAACTGTGGATTTTGCAATATTTTGATTAAACAGAAAGCTTGAAAATTATTTTCAAGAGCAACTGCACAGACAGCTTTTATTAGAGCAAGACAGCAAGTTTATAATTCTTTCCCCTCCTCCCATTACAATGACACATAGATCACTGTAGCAAACTTATGACTTGTAAGTTTTAGGGTAGCCAGAGCTGTCTTAGAAATTTTGAAATCCCTTTTAAAAAAAAAAAGTCAAATAACAATACAATACAACTAACCTGATAATCCAGATTTTTCCAGCATTAAATTTAGACACTGAAAAAAACAAACATACAGTGAGACTTGTCTCAATGCATAGGTTGGGAAATATGAAGTTTTCAGCAAATCTACACCAGAATTTTCTAACATAAAGACTGAGCATGTGATTCTTGGTCAATTCCTAAAAACAATATAATTACATAGACGTGGTGTATTTGAGCTATATATTAAAACCTTCAAGTATGAGACTGTTTTCAGGCAAGAAATTTACTATGTCAGGTGAGTCAGCTTACATAAACTGTTAAAAAAAAAAAAATCTGTGCTGTCAGTTTGTTGCTTTACTTGAACAAATTCTGTCTCAGAGTTTGAAGACGCACCTTTTAGAAATTAAGCCTGCAAACTCAACACTTCCCAGCCACAACTCGTAGACGTTGGTACTCTGTGCCAGAAGTCTGGATTGGCAGTACTAAGAACTGCTTCCTTCGCTCTTTGCACAGTTCCTCCTGACTCCCCTCACTCCAGTTCTGTGCATTCAGAGTCTGATGAACTAGAAGAGAACTGTGGCAGGCTCTGCCATGATTGCGTATATATATACTGCTGTGTATAAGAAGAGCGGCTAGTCATGCGCAAAGCAGTCGGGCTATATTCATCCTTGGGAAAAAGCAAGGATGTCTCTTTACTACTTGGTGAAAGATCAAGGCATTCTTCCCCGTGGCCTTTCGAAACACTTCCTTTGCCTCAGTGTCTTCTAGTGACCTGAAGTGACACACGGGTATAGGGCAGAGCTCTCCAGGAGCAGCAGACCGGACCCAGGCACGACAAAAGCTTTTAAAAGCAGCTGAACTCACCTCTTTGACAGACGCAGTCTCTTCCACAACTATCTCCATCTCAGGGCTTGCGTTTTGGTCACTCCCGACAATAAAATATAAGAAGAGCTAAAAACACAAGTATAAGTTATCAGAATACATATTTAAGCATGGAAATACTTTGAAATAACACCCCTGCACATGTATAGCAGCTATCGCAAGCCTGCCATCCGTCAGACAGCACTGAAACTCCTTTGGGCTAAAGCAAACAATCTAAGCAGGGCAAACAGAGGAGCATATGCAATTGAGTTATGGTCATCAGTAAAGCTTCATTAACCAGTTGTACATGCACTTAGTCTACTGCAAGTAGAGAGAAAATCTGCTAGCACTGTGATCTTTAGAAATATACTATTTTTTTTTCCCTTGCATATTTACAACTTGTAGATATCAAGAGCAGTATGTCCCTTATCTTATTTTACGCTCTATACAAAAGTTTACATACACCAGAGCACAGAAGTTGGACAACCACAAACAGATGAATGATAAATGATTTACCATTTGTCAAATGAGCTACATTAACTGGTCATGTATATGCTCTTGGCCTTCTGCAACCAAGATAAATGGTGTGAGCCCTTCATGCTGATATGTGTAATTCTCAGTGTCTCCGATCATTTTTTTCATGCCATTTACAACCATTACAAGAGTAAAAAGAGGACTACATGAAATACTGGGAAATGTAAACCAAGCATAAAAGAGTAGCATGAGGCCCTTTACAGTCATAGCACTACTATACCTGAGTGGAAGTTGGAGCTTTCCCACGACACAGACCTAGCAAGCTTCCCATTTTCAGTTCCGCTTCCTTGACAGTATAATCCTCAGGCACTTCAGGGAGGACAAAAAAACACAACGAACATCATAAGCTGATGCTTCCTGAAAATATCCATTCAATTATGCTGCTGTTTAGAGCCTGTAAGCCTCCTATGACTAAAGCAAAGCAGTATTTGTATAAAGGTTCCTCCCCACCATTCCTGGTATATGGGGTGACAGAAGAATTTAGGTTGGAAGGGACCTTTGCAGGTTGTCTGTTCCAAACCCCTGCTCAAAGCAGAACCATCTCTGAAGTCAGATCAGTTCACTCTGGGTTTTTCCCAGTCAAGCTCTGAATAATTCCAGGGATGGATATCCCCCAGCTTCCTAGGGCTCCATGTCTACTGTACTCCCAGTGTGAGTTCCCTTTCCACCCTCACCATATCAAGTGGTAGAATTTCCCTTGCTGAAACTTCTGTCTGCTGCCTCTAATCCTTTCAATGTGCTCCTCTGAGAAGAATCTCGCTCTGCCTTCTCTACAGGTCCATGTTAGGGACTTAAAGATGGCAATTACCTTTCCTCCCTGCAAGCCTCTTCCTCAGGCTGGAAAAACCCAGCTTCCTACCTCTCTCCTATGTTCCAGCTCCCAGACCATCCTGGGTGCTCTCCTCTGGACTGGGTCTAGTTTGCAAAGGCTTCTTTCTCATGCTGGGGAGCCCCCAAAAATGGACACAGTACTCCAGATGTTATCTGACAAGCGCTGAATGGAGGGGAATTAATCTCTCCTTGGCTTCTTGTCAGTGTTTTACTAATGCAATATATTAGAAAATAGCAGACACAGAAAATGTTTCCCAGCAAACATAACGTTGACCCACTCGGTTTCTCACCACTGCCTCAACAATGGCAAAAGCAAAGCTGGGGGTCCTTTTCTGCTCAACATTGGCCATCAGGAGCTGTTATATAGTGACAGGTGGCATCACATGCTCATCCAAATCAAGGAGCAGGCTACGGCATGAACACATTTCTCCACTCTTATGGAAGCACAAATCCACACATTATTCAGTGTGCTTCAAAACTGCGGGCACAAGCAGTCTTCTCACAGTAAACAGGAACCTAACACTGCTTCCTCCATTACCACAGGACTCAAGTTTGCTGCTCGAGGTGTTCTGAAATCCACCCTTGCACATCAATACTTGTAACAAATTGGTAACAACAGATGAGGAGAAGGCTGAGGTACTCAAAAACTTCTTTGTCTCCTCAGTCTTCACTGGCAGTCTTCACTTTTCTTCCCACACCTCCCAAGTGGATGGACTGCAAGACAGGGACTGGGAGAGTAAAGTCCCTCCCACTGTAAGAAGATCAGGTTCAAGACCACCTGAGGAACCTGAACATGCACAAGTCTATGGGACCAGATGAGATGCATCCCAGAGTCCTGAGGGAACTGGCTGGTGTTGGAACTGGCCAAGCCACTCTCCATGATATTGGAAAAGTTCTGGCAGTCAGGTGAAGTCTCTGGAGACTGGAAAATGGGAAACATTGCACCCATTTTTAAAAAAGGTAGCAAGGAAGATGCAGGGAACTACCAACGCGTCAGTCTCCCCTCTGTGCCTGGCAAGATCATGGAACAGATCCTCCTAGAAGCTATGCTGAGGCACATGGAGGACAGGGAGGTGATTCGAGACACCCAGCATGGCTTCACCAAGAGCAAGTCCTGCCTGATCAACCTAGCAGCCTTCTACGATGGAGTGACCCCATCAGCAGACAAGGGAAGAGCTACTGATGTCATCTATCTGGACTTCTGCAAGGCCTTTGACACGGTCCCCCACAACAGCCTTCTTTCTACATTGGAGAGAGATGGATTTGATGGGTAGACTATTTGGTGGGTGAGGAATTGGTTGGATGGACACACCCAGAGGCTCAATGTCCAGATGGAGGTCTGTGACAAGCGGTGTCCCTCATGGGTCCGTACTGGGACCAGTACTCTTTACTATCTTCATCAATGACAGAGACAGTGGGATCGAGTGCACTGTCAGCAAGTTTGCAGATGACACCATGCTGAGGTGGTGTGGTTGACATGCCTGAGGGACGGGATGCCATCCAGACAAGCTGAAGGAATGGGGGCATTAGAAGATGGGGACAGACCTTTTAGCAGGGCCTGTTGCGATAGGACAAGGGGTAATGGTTTTAAACTAAAAGAGCATAGATATAAGGAAGAAATTTTTCACAATGAGGGTGGTGAACCACTGGCCCAGGTTGCCCAGAGAGGTGGTAGATGCCCCATTCCTGGAAACATTCCACGTCAGGTGGGACGGGGCTCTGAGCAACCTGCTCTAGTTGAAGATGTTCCTGTGCTCATGGCAGGGGGGGGGGGGGGCGAAGGGGCCGGGAACTAGATGGCCCTGAAAGGCCCCTTCCAACCCAAAGATTCTAAGTTTCTATGAAACACATTTAGTCCATTTTGTTTCAGGAAATATAAGTTAGGACATGGAACAATGACTCTGCTTCCTGGAACATCTAGAAAGTTGCTCTGTAATGTATTAAATATGATTCAAAACAGATCATTTACAGACTTTTCAATTTATAAAATAAGTATGGGAAACAGAACCTTCTGTTAATTCCCACAGTCTTGAAGCACATGGCCAGTGGTCAATAAAGAGCAGCAGGTATGCTAATTAGTTTTACTCATTAGAAATGCAAGTAATAAAACCAAGCTGAACATTTAAGTTTACCCTCTAGTTTTGTATTGGTACTGTTAATAAACACTAAAACTGAAAAAAAACCCACACAAAAAACCAAATCTACAAATGCTTCAGTTAAGCCTGAAAATCAGTGGAGTTATGTGTGTGTACTTCTCCCAGGAAAGGGCAAAGGGTAACAAAGTTTCCCAATTGAACTTCTTACAGAGTGATGATTAAATAAATAAATTTACCTGGAGAAAGAAGTTTCCCATTTCCACTAACAGGTCTAAGACAGCTGTCATTTGCTGTAACAAAAAGGGTAGGAAAGAGAGACAGATGTATTAAGTAATTCAAATGAGAAGAAATTTGGCTCAGAAGTTTAGACAGATAACATGTTTAAGATTAATGACAATAACAGGTTTATCTTGGAGGCTTCCCTCTGGAGGTATTACATCAAAAGTACAATTGGAGAGACATTCCTAGAGACTTCATGAACAGTCTTAGTTTTTATCCTTTCAGTGAAACAATAGTTTTTCGTTGAAGCCAGCTGTTAGCCACAATCCGTAAAATACTCTAAAACTGACCAAGTGCTTCAAAAGGTAAATACATCAACAAAAGCTTTAACGAAAGCATACTGGAGTGTCTTAAAGAAAGGAATAAGGTAAAAAAAAAAATCTTCTTTAATTCTTAGCGTAATACTTTAGTAAGATGACATGATCATTCCTACACAAATAGCTTCTGAAAAATAAGAGCCTCATAAAATGTATTTTAATCAAGGCTTACATTGATTTATTTTTAAGACAGGAAATCATAGTTTTATTCAAAATTAATCTAATTTTAAGTTCTTTGCACTCTCTTTCTTCCCAAAAAAAACTCCTAACAGCAATGGATTTGCTGTTTTGAATAGTGATGCAAAAAGCAGGAAGCCAGCCAGTACATTCTAACATTACCAGATCTAAAAGTAAAGCAGCTTAACACTTACCTAGCTCCTCCTCTAGCTGAAGCTCCCGTATTGCTTTCATTTTGATATCTGACATCACCTAAAAGAACGCAATATTAACACTTCTAATGTAGAATGCCAGATGTGCTGTTCAAATGCCAGTCAGCAAAAGGCAGCCTTCACTTGAAATGTGTCCTGGTTATGTTCTGTTAACACTATACACAGCTGAGAACATTTCTTTAACATTATCATACCAAATATACGTAACAAATAAATGCACTGATATCATAACACATTTGTGGAAATTTTCCTTAAAAATAGTATTCCAAAGAAAATTTTTGGATTTGTCAAAAGACTAAATATTTCACAAACAGTAATTTTGTGAGCAAAACTTAGTAGTACTTCATATTTTCTGCAACAGGAAATAATTTAAAGAGCAGAAAAGGTATCAGAGAAGTCCACCCCTTGGGGAAAACCAGCATATTTTCCTATCCTATGTTGAAAACAAGAAATAATACTTTCCTCCTCTTCTGGCTTTTGTTTACTGACACAGCCTCAAACATACATTGACAGGATGGTCCAAAACCAAAACTGTTTCACACTAAAACACACTAATATAGACTGCACTGGTGTAAGTTACCAGCATTGGTCTTATTACACAGCAGTCAAAAGTATTCCAGTAACAGTAACTCTGACTTGCACACTATCTTCATCACCTATAAACTTTATCCCTGAGGCTAAATGCACTCCTCATTAACTGGCCCAAGTGCACTGGCAAGCTTTTAAGGGAAACAGCCTGTGTTATATCCCTGAACAATCAGATTTCTTACTGTTTCAATAGTGGCAGTAATTTTAACATGTTTCTCTTCATCATCCGTTCCGCAGAAGTTTTTAACTTGGAGCCAGCTGATGTCATATGTAAATGCAGTCAAATTGCCACTTGACACATTCACGAAGCTGTAAAAATGAGAAGTGCAAAGATGGTCAAAGACAGGAAAATTACACATTGTCTGGGCTAGATCGCTAAATACCAAAGCTCTGAAATAAACCACTAACACCTAGGTCATTAATAGCGATGGCATGTCACAGAGTAAGAGTCAGAGGTCTCAGGCAGCATCCTGGCACCTCTGGGCTGGGTACCAAGTAAACCAGTAGAAACTATGTTTTGGTAAGTGGCTTTCAATGGGACTTGAGCTTCTGAAGGCATGTCAAGAGTCTAAGTCACCTTCCGCGTCTGGATTTAAGGCTTCTGGAAAAAATACTGTAAAAGAATACCTAGTCATAACTAAAATTTGAGATTGTCTCTCTGCTACTGTATATAAACACAGTTCTTGGTGAAGAGTCCTCTCACTGCTTCATTTAACCTCAATTTTTCAGTACTGTTTCAACAAGGAAGTCAGAATTTACGTAACAAGCACATATAGATGTCTCTCAAAACAGGAACCTAACCTGAGGGCTATGCACTGGAGAGTGAAACGAGGCCAGAAATTTGCCCCTGGCAACTTTAGATTCAACTCGGAGATTCAGCAGAGCTGCATACTCTTCTGATACTGCTCTGTTCTCTCACCCCACCAAGTCCCTTGGAGAACCACACAACTCAAACCTCAGAAATTCAGGTTATGCCAAAAATGCAGCAGGACACTGGGTACAAGTTGTTCTCACCAGGTTTTTCCCTTTACAAGTGTAAGTCAAAGGATGTGACTGTATCTGCACTTCAAAAGCAAAGAAATGTCTAATAGTTGGTAAGTACCTGATCTCCAAAACTTAAGATTACATTATCCTGAATAAAAGATGTATTAAAAGAATATATATATAGCTAGCGTAATTTTAACTAAACAGATTTTGCCAAAATTGTTTTTTTGTTTAATTATACTTGTAATCAAAATGGTTACCTCTGGTCATGGCTGTCTAAGATTAGTACTGAGCATCCATCCATCAGGCCAACACTTTTGACTGTTTCCTTCATATCTTCTTCAAGAAAAACTTCCCAGTTCTTGGCTTCTTTGTCTGGTCCTGAGCCATTCTTCAGAATGATTCCTCCTGACGGTGCTAACGCTCTGCGCAGATCACCCAGTTTTGTGCTGCGTGAAAAGACGTGCTGCGATTCTGTGAAATGCTGACCCTTCCCTCCTTCGTTATACTCTGCTAAACGAAGAATGTTTACGACCACAGGTTCATGATCAAGGCCTGTCATCACCTTTGTACCACCAACCTGAAGTAAGGAATGCAAGATTTACGCAGTGGTGATCAATAAAAGACAGAAGAGACTGGACAGCAATAAGTGAAAACAATAAAATTATTGGGACAAAATGATGGACCCTCTCTTCTCATTAGAAATAAAGCACCTTTCACCAAATGCCTACTCAACAACTAGAGTAACTCAAAGGTGTTGGGAAGAGAAAGCGCAACTTTAAGGTCTGTTCCAAGTCTGCCTGTATAGTAAATATATTGGTAACAGTAGCTGGGAAACCAGTGAACACTTCGTCTCCATCAGATCAAGAAAAGAGGAATTCAGTCCCTCAGGATATTAAAGAACTACCCAAAAGTGTGACTGAGGCGGATCAAAAAAGTTAGATTTTAAAACCCAGCCTTTCTGATATTCCACCTAGGCAAAGAATACAGTTCCTTGCTGAAGGCAATTTAATCATGCAGGGAGCTGGAGTCCCATAGACCATACCAAAAGTACAATCAAGACAAGAATGACTCTATTATTAGATGTTTTCTTTTGGTCTTGGGTTTTTCTGATAAATCAGAAAGAAAATGCATACTTTTACAACAAAAGTCGTTTAAAAGTAGTATTTTATTCCATTACAGAGATGGAATAAAATGCTGTGTTACATAACCACTGAGGGAAGTGTTTGAAAGTTAAGCAGAAGCCCTAAGGAATATGCAACACTAGAAAAGGAATACAGTATTGCAGGAAGACCATACACAGAAGTAGTCACTGACAGGTCTAATCTTATATGTGAAATGATTCACTACAGGGCATAAGTTTTTGTTATTGCATTACTATCAACTGATCTCCTTCCAAGAGGCACCAGATGCTTTCAGAATATACTCCAATGTAATTGGCATTGGATATCTACAGGCACCAATCAGACCATATCACATTCTACGTAGTTTAATTCTAATTTTATCAAGCAGTACATTGTACATCACTCAAGATGTACTTTTACAGACAAGCTGTAAAAACATAGTATCCTAGATGAGGCTGAAGAGGTGTCCCCAAAGCCAACGTTGGTGTATGTCAGCAGCACATCTGCAGAACAGATTGACATTTCCAAAAAAGTGTCTGGTGATTGCATCTTATCTCTTCAGAACTGAAAACGAGAGAGGGTATTTAGTTCTTTTACCTCTTTCCCATTCCACACAAAGATGTCTGCTCCATCAGCCAGCCCAATGCCATCCAGTGTCAGTTCATCTCCTAAAAAGGAGCAAATCATCAAGTTCTCGCCTCCCACAAAACAGACAACCAGGGTCAGATGGTAAACTGAAATATGCTGGCACATTCTACTGTGGCTCAAGTATATCATTACAAAAGCTGCTGTGTGGTCAACATTTACGGTGGGTAAGTTAAGGTTCACTCATGTAGCAAGAGAAACACAAGGGGGTACACACTCCTACAGCACTCTCACCGAGTGAAGAGGGCCGCAGCACAAAAGTTTGAACTCAATTTCCCTTGCAAACCAAGGCCCAAGTTAGCACTTGGCAAAGCTGCTTGGTCAGGATTATCTACATGAGATTTAACAATGAATCAATGGATTTCAACTAAAAAGGCTGGATTTAATAAATGAGTTACGTATTGTACATTCCAAGCCCATCCTTTGAAATACTAATGCCCATGCTGCTGTTTCTTTTACCTTCCTACTGTAAGACAGATTCAGATTTTTTTAAAAGTCATTGTCATTTAAAGAACTGTACTAGCATGTGGAGGAATATTTACAGCAGCTATGAGTGCCTCTGTATTTCGATGTCAACATCATGGGAAGTTGGGTTATGTTCTGGTAGAACCCTAATTTTCTGAAACAGACCACAAAGACCATAAAATTTTTAAAAGGCTGAATAGGCTTTTGATGACTAACAGAATTGTCTAACAATACAAAGCTGGAGACAGAACTCATGACTTTAAAATACTAATGTACTCTTAATAAATTGATGTAGTTTTTATGTAAGCATTTTCTGTTACAAAATTCCTACTTCACCTTAAGTCTAATCTACATTTTTCTTTGATATCACCCTGGCTCCTCTCTTCTATCCTCTCCTCTACCAACTAGGTAAATACTGTGATAAGCAAATCAAGGTCAAAATAGAGACTGATATGTTTTTGTCAGCAAATGTATCTAACTTGCATAAGATCAGCAGTCTTACTGCACTTCACAACAAAGATTACGTATAAAAGTCTCAAAACCCTTCATTTCACTAAGAATGTCCTAAATAACTCAACAGCAGCAGACCTGCATATAGGTTTGAGTTTGAAGAGTGTTCAATAATACAAGTCTCCAAGATGTTTTATATATGAAATCTTCGATGTCTGCAGTAGATACAACATATAAATAACATGGAAGCCTTGCATGTAATATACTTACCATCAAGTACCTGGTAAAGATGCAGTCCTGCTGGTAAAGGCTTGGCAATACTGAGAATCATGTCTCCTTCCCAAGATTCCAACATCTTATTGGGAAGAATGAAAAAAAAAAAAAATATAAAACACCAGCAAGCAATAACTCAATCACTCAAAATTACAACTTTGCTGAAAGCTGTTACAGCCTGGCTACCAAGCTCACTTGGTGACACTTAACAAGTCACAGCTATTTATTTCAACAAGGCCAGTAACGCAGGAAACAGTCAAACAGTTAGGACTTGGTCTTTCAGACTAGTCACCAGATAGACGAAAATAAAGTTTTAAGTGGACATTAACCAAAGGTTTGTGAGGTATAGGAAAAGCAAACAGTGTTTCCTGACACTACGTTAGCTTTGATTTAGATATCTATGAAAAAGCATTTTACAAATTGTCACATTCCTTTAACATAATAAGAGAATAAATACAAAGACACTACATTCAGTAGTTAAGCTAAATATTTCTTTTAACCAATTTTCTTTTTTCTTAAACTACTCTGATTATTTCCTTTCAAGGCCAGCTAGCTCCTTGAAATACAAAGACAAATCTGTCACAAACTGAAATGTTAAGAATAAGCCTGGAGTTCTGCAAAGTGTCAATCCATGCCCATGTACATGCTGCCCAAATATAAACAATTAGCTTATGAGCTTTGAAGTCTACATAATTAAAGTTTCATCGATTTTCTGGTTTCTTCAACACCTCGAGAACAGACCTCAAACCAATGTTTCCTTCTGTGTAAACTCATATAGTTTTTGGATCCCTAAATGGACATTTACTGTTGAAAATGTCTCACTGAGATAAAAATTGCGGCATAAATACATTTGTAAATGTTGTTGTGGCTCAAATAAAAATGAAGTCTTTGAGTTCATTTAATATAGCAAATACCTGGAATACTGATTGTCGAAGGTCTCCTAGCGTTTTTCTTCTATCAATAGTCAAATCCACAACACTCTCTTTCCAAGTAAGTGAAGGATGCAAAGCCCCATTGTGAAATTTATAACATGAGCTCAAATGGAGATGTAAATCAATGCCATTGTTTGCTGAGTCACATTCCGCTCTTTGAAAGAATAACACAATAATAAACCGGTGAATTTAACACCGACAAATGGCTAGCGTATCTCAGAGATGCTTCTGTGCAGTTGTCCTGGAACACGTTGTACGATACTGAGCTAGCGTAGACATCCTCCACGTAAGCACTATAACAGTATGTTCTGTGCGTTTCTACACCTTGCTTCTACCTTTCCAAACAAAATTACAAACTTCATCTTTAGGAGTGTGGAGATTGTAGGGTACTTTTCAGGCTGTGTACTCTGTTGAAACGCAAAGACAGAAAAACTGTACGGAAACTGAGTCAGGACAGACACAGCCATGACTTCCTCCTTTATATCCATTTCCAGTCCTATTAGCTAAATGTAGCGGCAAATATGACATTTAAAAAATAAAAGAGTGAAACTTGCACAGTACAGAGGTATCACACAAGACTTGCGTCTCTCACGTGCGTGTCTGTATTTTGATAGCTTAACTGCAATTCAGGCTTCTTATCAGTTCTGTGTGTTCCTCAACAGAAGGAAAAGTTTCAACCAACCTGAATATCACTAGCTCCTTCCTCCATGATTCTGGCAAAGGATGCCATTTATCTGTTGTTTCACAGTAAAGCAAGTCATGCCCCCTTCTCCCAAGAGAGAACTCCCTCTATAAACATAATTAAGATAACGTATTCCATTCTCCTTCCAGAATTGCCATGATTTTCAACAAAAAATGGTACAATTTTTAACTGTAAGTAAGTTTCCCTTGAAATTCTGTAGAATGGCTAGTTACACCACTAACAGGGAGGCAGGGAACCAGCTGAAGGCAGGATCTGGGCATACAAGTTGTATTCCTCGATCAACCTCTCTGACATTGAATCATTTTAGTATCTGGCTCTACTCAATGAGTTTCATTTTAAATCACTTTGGAGACCTGCAGATTAAGAATGCTGTTTAAGAATCAGTACAGTTACATTATATACCTCTTTTTTTGCAGCTCAGTATTAGCAGCATTCATTTCATTCAGAAGGTGTTCAGGAATTTGGTACCTTGGATTTCCTCGCGCTGCAACAAATAATATAGGCTAGTTTGGCCTCAGCTACTTAAAATGTGTTTCGGCAAACAAGAAAAGTGATCAAGACGAGACATTACAGCACAGTAATCATCGAAAATTCATAGCAATAATGTTGCATCCTTTCATAATAGAGAAAATTAAACTGCAAGATGATACAAAGAACAAACAAGTGCTTTTACTTCTTCCCGTCAGTCTTTACCTAA